ACGTAACAAGCTAGAGATAGAGAAAAGAAAGGATGGTGCTTTTTTTCTGGAAAACTCTGATTTTTTTTTTTTAAGATTTTTTATTTATTTGTCAGCGAGAGAGAGAGAAATAGAGAGAGCACAATAGGGGGAGCGGCAGGCAGAGGGAGAAGCAGGATCGCCACTGAGCAGGGAGCTGGGTGTGGGACTCAATCCCAGGACCCTGGGATCATGACCTGAGCCGAAGGCAGACACTTAACCGACTGAGCCACCCAGGCATCCCTGAAAACTCTGATTTTTATAAATACGTACATTTATTTGTATTTACCTTTTTATTCTACCAGTATAGAACCAGCCACTTCATCCTTTCAGAGCCCAAAAAAAGGGAATTTATCAGAGGTTTAGTTTAATCTAAAGAAAAAATTGCCCAGAGGTACAATTAAGTTTGCTTCCAACTGTGTCTTCCTTGAGATGGGAAGACTTCCTTCTCAGAGAGTAAAGTGGTCTCTGTGTTCTGTCAGCCCTTCCAAGATCCTTGGTCTCAGATTCATTCCTTTAATCTTTTAAATGGGGCTTGTCCATCAAGGTCCTTCTAAAAAATGGGATTTGGTTCAGGGGTCTTCCTTGGACCTACCACATTTAGAGTTAGCCTGATTAGTGGTTAAGAATAGATTTTGGAGTGAGACTTCCTGGTTCAAGTCCTGGCACCACCACTTACTAGCTGTGTGGCATTGGACACAGTCTCTCTATGACTCAGTTTCCTCATCTGTAAGATTGGGAAAATAACCAGTATTCATATGTTACCTGTAAAGATTAAATGGCTTAAGTAAATACTAAAGTGCTTTGGAATACTGCCTGGCACATAGTAAGTGCTGTATGAGTATTAGCTATTATTGTTATTATTTAGGTTAAGAACCCCTCCTTCTACAGGACCCTTGTTCACTCATTCATTTATTCATTCATTCATTCACCTGCTCCTTGCTGAGCACTCTGCTACTCTCACTACTTCACTACCTCTTGCTCAGGATGAACTAGGGATGTCATGGACAAGGATAGTTGCCGGCTTTCTTTGTATTCTGTCTCCTCGCAGTGATTGGTATTTAATGAGTGCTCGGCTCTGACATAAATGAGGATTGACCTCATGTTTTCAAAGGTGATCTGATACCAGAGAACAGTGGTTCTTATTTTTAAAGCATATGTATGCTAGGCTTGTCTTAAAGTGTCAAGGATGAGAACTGAGTATAGTTGTATAGATCTGATGAGATTTTGGATTAACTTGGATTTTAGCCTGTGATTTTTCTAGTGTTTGCCTTAGTATATGCTTTAAAACAGTAACTAAAACTCTGGAATGTGCTATGACTTTTTCTCAACTTTTGAAGAAATTAATGCTTTCATTAAAACCAGGAACCTAAAAGTCTTGGAACTGCCCACACACATCCTGGAATTTATAAGCAAGACTAAGAGGAGCTCCAGAGACAATAGCCTGCGCCTCTCCTCCAAATTCAGATTGTCCAAGAAATGCTTGTGATTGCAAATAAACCACTGCTTTAGAATCCTCAAGAATAATGATCACAGCATTGTCCAGTAATTCAGCAGTAACACCCACCAAATATAGATTCCATATATTGTGCATATACTGTATGTGTATAAGAATGCACAATGTTTGCCTATAGAGTAGTGCTATTGAAATTGGTATTTCCATCTTCAAGGGGTCAAAGTTCTTACAGGGGTAAGAACTAGGAATGGAATCATAGTATCTAAGATCTGAGTTGTAAGCATCTTGAGCTTATGTCTTATGGTCTGCCCACAAATAAGATGAGTTGTGAAGGTTATTTAGCCTTCTAGCTTTTCGACAAAATTGATAAATGTATTTGAAAAGCAAAATAAAATATTTTTCTGAATAACCACATTGAATGTTTTAAATATTAAAATATTTGGTGTGTTTTTATACAGAATATGTGTATATTTTACCTGAAATGTGAAGAGGCTACCACACCTTTAAAGGGCCTTCCTTAATGATAATGTGGCAGTCTTATGAAGGCACCATCAATAAGTCTTGTTGATAGGAAAAACAGTTTGGGAGGTGCCACTGGAAGAATGCATGCAACAGAAGTAGAAAGCTGTTTCCTTAACCCCAGTGCCAGGACTCTATTTTCCTGGGGCCTGGCTCTCTCAGGGAACGGGGAGGCTGGGAGGACGTGACAGCTGGGCTACATTCATGGAGTGGACTGATGGCATCTTCATAATTCTGTCTTTAAGAAGAGTCTGCTCATGGCACTTGAGTTTTTCCAGAAGGCAAAATTAGAATTCTTTCTTAACATATGATATCCAGAAGTCCTCAAGGACTTCCAGAGTTTTTATGAAGAATGCCAAATATCCTAGAAATTGTATTTCAACACCAGAGACTCTTTTAACATAAGCTAATTTAGCTTCACCACTATTGTGAGCCCTGACAACACTGTCCACCCCTACTACCTTTTCCAAGAGGTGTGGGTGGATCAGTATCAGCCCATTAGCACAAGCAGGGAGGACAGCAGGAAGCACCTGCCCTGTGGTACTGGGTCCGGCCTTTAGCCCAAGAGGGCAGCATTATGATTTTACACACATGTGCACACAAATGCGTGCATGTTGAGTACCATTGTTTAAAATCACTGTTGAGTAGCAGTTGCTTGGGCCCTACACAGGAGACCTGGACTCTACTCTCATTTCCTTTGGGTGATGTGCACAAGTCATAAATTCTTCAAGCCCCAGTTTGCTCATTTAATCCGAATGAAGAGTTTGAATTAGACCAAAATTTCAGAAGAAACTTTGATGTGCAGGTAAATCACCTGGGGATTTTGTTCAAATGCAGATTCTGGTTCAGTAAGTCCAGGGCAGGATCCAAGATCCTGCATTTCTAACCAGCGCCCAGGTGATGCTGATGCTGATGTTCCCTGGACGAATTTGAGTGGTAAGGGTTTAGATAAGACATCTTATTCTGTCCTCCGACCACCCTGTGATACAGGTATTCTTAGCTTCACTTTACAGTTGAGGAAACAGGCTTAGCTAAATACTGTCAGATGGCAGGACTAGAACTCAAACTTGAGTCTAACTGGCCCCAGAATTTAGCCACTATAAAAACTTTATATTGCCTTCCTTTTTTTTCCTGGGACTTGGAAGAATAACTGCAGTTTTCAAAGGTGTGTAACTCAGTAAGGAGTAGCTTAGCCATTATGAAAATCTATACCACCATAAACACAGAATAATACATAGTTCTTTTTTTTCCATTAGAAGAAAAAATATTGTGGTGGCATAGATAATGTGTAAGGTAAATGCCAAAGTCTGTTAATACAGGGGGTATTGTTGCATATTAGGAAGTATTTTAAGGCTATTTAATTTAGACTAATTTATTTAATGAGCTTTTAATCTACCTTGTCAGCTTGCTAGTTCCATTGTGTTGCATATTTTTATATTTGCTGACATTTCTACCAGCAATGATGGGGGTATCGAGCACTGTGATTGGAGGATATGCAGAGTGTTCATATTTCTACATAAAAACCTCTCTGTTGCTTTTCTTTTTTCTTTTCTTTTTCTTTTCTTTTCTTTTCACTTCTCTTCTCTTCTCTTCTCTTCTCTTCTCTTCTCTTCTCTTCTCTTCTCTTCTCTTCTTTCCTTTTCTTTAAGACAGAGAGAGAGTGTGTGAGCAAGCCAGGGGTGGGGGTGCAGAGGGAGAGGGAGACAGAATCTTAAGCAGGCTCCACGCCCAGCACGGAGCCCAACGTGGAGCTTGATCTCATGACCCTGAGATCATGACTTGAGGCAAAATCAAGAGTCCAGGGCTTAACTGAGCCACCCAGGTGCCCCCTGCTGCAATTTTTTAAGCACTAAGAATGCATTAGTACATTATTTCATGCTGTAGGCTGATGTCCACAAATATCGAACCATTACTATGTTTTGAGTCTGCAGGAGTCAGCATTCTTTTAAAATCCTCATTCATGACTTTAAGCATAGCAAACTTACTGAAAATGAACTGTTTTGTTTTCTGAAGGCCAAATTCCAGGACTTAATTTTTATGTGGAAAACTTCACCTCAGAGCAGAATTTTACAGCATAGTTATAAACCTCAAAGAATAGGAATTTGTAATGGACAGGGCCATTGATTCTTAACAGGAGTCACATTAACAGGTATACAAGACACATAAAATGGTTCCAAGAGCCTCTGGCAACATGTGGACATACAGAATCTTTAACATGGATTTGCAAGTTAGTGCCTAAAAGGAATTAGGCAGTCAGACTCTAAAAATCCAATTATCGATCTACTGACATACTTTGATTAGTTCAGGGGACTTTAGTTTGGAAGATTATAAGTTCACTGCCCACTGAGCAGAATGATGGGTGGGGTGGGTAGGAACTTCTGAGTCAGGCTGCCCAGGGTTCTGACCCCCAGAACCCCAGCTTGCCTCTTAGCAGCCAATTTGACCTTGGACAAAGTACTCACCCTCTCTGAGCCTCAGCTTCCTCCTCACAGGGTTGACATGAAAGTGAAAAGATATACAGTACTTGAAAGTGCCTAGAACGTAGCAATAGATGTTTAGAAATGTTTATAAATGCTAATTTTCTGCTCTATAGCCATTATAAAAGTATTCCTAACTCTCCAATTGATACTTCTCTGTCAAAATTTCTGTTGTGAGTGGGATACCTGTTGAAGGTGAGAACATGGTGGGGAGAGACAGCAGGGCATGATCAAGAAGCCCATGGTGATTAAATCCAAGGAGTGGGCCAGGCAAGATGCTAACCCAGGTTATATGTGACAGAGGAAGATTCTGGTATAGCAGAGCACCCCTACACCACCCAGAGGTATTTTCTGAAGCTAATGAGCCCTGAGTAGCCCCTGAGCCAAAATCCCTGCCCTGTGCTGTCTCTTTTGGCCATTCAGGTCACACATACTCCCAATCACCTCAGCTTGTCATATTCAGATCTGGCTGGAAGCCAATCCTTAGAGCTTGTTCAGTTCCTTAAATAAGGAGCTACCTATGCATGGCACCTAAGACAAGTTCAGCCCTACAGTAAATGTGTGTCGGTCAGATTACATTGAAGGTACAGTATATTTCCTCCTAAGGTCTCTAACCACTTAGTAAATATTTGTCAGATGAATTAATGAAATGAAAACCTTTATAGAGGAAACCTGAAGATGTTGGTAGAGTGAGTCTATGGAGACAAAGGCTCTTCAGGTCATTGTTGCTGTCAACAGACCCTGTGAAAATGTCTTTCGTAGGCGACCCTTCCTTGCATCATTTCCAAGGCCTCTGGGGTACACAGGGAAACCACATACAGCTTTGGGACATTTTTTTAACTACTAGCAAAAGCAGCCCATCAGAGTACTCATTTTAAAGATGCATATTTAAAGACAAGGAGGGAAGAAAGAATTCTTAAATGCAAATGGCTTTTACACTTTCCTACTTATGTGTTTTGTTCAGCAGACTAGTGTCTTCCCACACCCTTCTGCTGTGTGTGCGGCCATTTTCTCCGAATTAAAGGAAGAGAAATATTGGCACCTATCAGTTAAAAAGCCCCAGGGATCCACATACCATCCGGGCCAGCTAGAATGAGGTGTTTATCAGGGCACGAACCCCTGGCTTCTGGGAACCCCCCCCTCTGACCTCTGTGCTTTCTTCCTAAAGTCCTCAGGCCAGGGCTTAAAAGGAAATAGAACAAAATTAAGTCCACCACTGGGTGATTTAGCCTTTGGTGGATACTGACGATTGGTGATGTGCTGGCGTTAATCAGGCAGCGTGGCCAGCACACGCCAAACACAGCCCAGAGTGGCTCTGGAACCTGCACCAGCCTGCGGTTGGGCCCGGTGTGCGGTTTGGGCAACATCTTGAAAACAAGCTCATCCATAAAGTCAAAGGCTTTTAAAGTGATTTTTAAGTAGAATAAACATTGAGAACAATTAAAAGGAATGAACAAGGAGCTAGATTAAGATTGACACCCCCCACCCTGCCCAAATACCCAGTGATAAGGAAGCCAGCCAAACAGTGTAAGTGTGTTAAGGCAGAGTGGGAATGCAACGCGGCCATTAAAGGTGAAAAATACGTTAGTTTTTTTTGGATACATGAAATATGCATCTTTACTAATGTTGAACCCCGAAGTGGACTATTTGCAACCATTTCAAAATGCAGGTATAATCATTAACAAATGGCAGAACCGATTTTCATAATGTTGACTAATGTTTTCATCATATTGACTAAATCCCTAATTTTTAAAAACGGACTCTCGTGGCAGTCATGTGCAATCTTGTGAATATTCCCTTTTGAGGACTTGATTTCAGAGTGATCCTGTCACTCTGACTAAACCGACAAGGAAGTGCCATCCCTGGATGGCAAGGACCAGGGACTTTAGGGACAAAGGAGAGCCAAAGAGCAGCAGGGCCAGCTTGAGGCCAGAGTGTCTGAAGCCTGATGCTTTCTGATGTTGGCTCTTCTCTGAGGAGGGTCCCCTGCCCTGGTGACCACACCCCAGCCCAGTCTCCTGAGCCTCACCCTCTTCATTCACCCAGCCATGTGACTCTGAGATGAAATTGGGGACAAGTAGAACAAGAGAGGAGAGTTATGTTTTAAATTTGGAAATTGCTCAAGAAAAATCAGGCTGTCTTGATTGGCACATGCAAATGTACGCAACTGTTAATTTTCTTGCTGAAATTCCCATTTCCTTTATCCACACAAAATCTCTGAAAAATCTTCTTGATGATTCTTTTGTTCCCTTTCTGCCCCCACCCCCAGTAATTAAAACGTGAAATAGTAGTGATGTCTTCTGGCCAACCTGAGGACCTGGGGGTGACATCAAGCCCAGGCCACTGCTCTTGGCCCCAGGTGGCATGCTGGGGCCGACAGCAGGGACGGGCTGCTGACGTAACTGTCTTCATTTCTAATGCTGGTAGTAACCAACAGCGTTTAGTTTTGCTTTGACAACTCCTCCTACAGCCAAAACTATTGTTATGGCCCACATGCCATTGCTATTTATCCTAAATAAGGAAAAACAAAGGCTATTCTGGGCGTAGAGCAGGGCTTGTGGCCGGCTTTATTTGCAATATTACCATGGCACGCTGCCCTTCTCACTATGGCCGCACTGTGATTTTTCTGAAAACTGCTGCCTTCTCTTAAGTCTTTTCACACAGCCCCCGGGCATCAGAATGCACTGGAGGTGTTCTACGCACACATGAAAAACTGCCTAGCCCTCAGGGGAAACCCAGACTGTGCTTGCACAAAATGAACCAGGAAAAAGTGCCCTCCTGAGAGCTGTCTCTGCTTTGCCATTTGGATTCTTCTCTCTAATTTCTGAACCTTGTAAACTAAAACCGCCTAGTAGTAAGAGTCCTGACTTTACAGCACCCCTGTAGGTATATTTTCGCCACCATGCATTGAGAAATAGGGGCGGGGGGAGAGAAAGGGCAGAGCCGACAGGAAAGTGAGAGTGGGGGGGGAAGCTGAGTGTTTCCTGCTGTGCTTATGACTTTGACAGTTGCCAGTGCCCAGCTTAGCTGCAAGAGCTATGTGAACTGCTCCCATCAGTTAGAGAGAGACTTTGGGGATTGGAGGGCCCCGAGGACAGCCTGCAGCCTGGCTCCTGGTATGAGAGACGCTGTGGGCACTTCAAGCCAGGATGTGCTCTTGAAGCTGGATCCACAGCAGAGAAGCCTAAGTGGCTAAGCATCCCTGTCTGTTTGCACACGCTGCCTCGGTAAGCCCTCGCTTCATTTCTTCAACCTTGAAAGCTTCCAGCAGGGATCAAGAGAAGAAATACTGTATTGGGATTTGTAGATCTCCCCCTTTCTGCCTTATCCGGTTTGATATTTGCCTGTTAAAAAGATTATTGAATGCAATGGAACACGATGATCTGTCTAGCTGCATTCCGCTCATCTGTGTGTGTAACATGTCCCAGGTGAGGCCAGACATGAGAAATGCAGACTAATCGTTGCTGTCTGTTGCTGTATATGACACTGGGTGTTCCGCTGCTCCAGGATTTGAGACCCTGCACTTGTTATCTGCTCTGTGACACCGCCCGCTTCCTGCCACAGAGCTCCTGATTTCTGTGGACGGCAGTTGATAATTGGTAGCCACAGTCTGCGGTCAGAGCCATAGCATTTGAGTCTAACACCTGGGCTGGGCCCCGCTGATACGGTAGAGAGAGAGACAGAAGCACGCGCACACACACACACACACGCAGTCGCACACTCACACCCCACGCTGGCCATAACTGCCGCTCTGAGCTGCCTAAAGAGGAGATGGCCTGAAGCCGAAGGGATGCTTTGAACGTGGGGGGGGGGCCGCATCACGGTTGGACTCCCCCTTGCAAAGGACCCGATTATGTCCAGTGACCACCCGAACAAAGCACACTGAAGGAGGCCCCGTTTAGAGACCTGTTCCTGAAAAAAGGCATACTTTCAAAGGGCAGCTGTGGGTGATGCCTGTTCTCTGGGGTTTGTGGTGGTTGTTCTTGGAGTTTGGCCTGAGGACAGAGTTGAGAAGAGTAGAAGCTCTTTCTCAAGAAGTTCATATCTACCTAAGAAGGGTCTGTCAGCTCTGAGAATGCCTCAGGGCTTGACTGTCTGTGGGAAGATGTATTTTAGGCTTTCTCGTCTTCTTTCTCATCTGTGACCAGTTTGTTCCCGTTGGAGATGCTATACACGTAAATACACAGGTTTGTTGCTTTGGAGCTTTGTTTTCTCAGATGTTCTATATGTGAGACTAACTCTCCCCCACCCCCGGAAACTCTGTTACTCACTGCTAGACTCATGGGTACTTTTTTTTTTTTCACCCGGAGTCATTGAAAACAGCATCTGAAAGAAAAGATGTGTTTCTCAGGATGTGGGTGGTTTACTGGGTTGTTTCTCAGGTCACCAGTCTAGTAACAGTAGACCTGAGGCAAGCCAGCTGTGACTCTTGAGAGGCAGCCTGTGGGGACAGACAGAGACTGCTAGCTAGGGAGCATTCAGAAGCCACTCTGCTCTTAAATGTGAAGGAGATGGTTACTTGTGCAGCTGTATATTTTTCTGATGCATTTTCCTAAATTAATAATGTGGGGGTAGGGTGGGGGTGGATTTTTAAATGAATCCTATAGAGGGAATTATGGATTTATGTATGTATTTTTTTCCATTTATAACATATTGGAGGGATAGACTTTTTTTTTTTTTTTTTGGAGGGATAGACTTTTAAAAGGTTTGTAATTGCTTTTACTCCTCTGCTATGTTTTCAGAAAAATCCTGTCAATCATCTTTGAGTGGAACATATTTAGCTAGATTTCTTTCTGAAGAGATCATGAGACTCTAGATTCTAAAATGTATGATGAAAAGTTGAATTGGATGAATGCTTGGACCTTAGTAATTTAAAAAGACGTTATTCTAGCTGGATGGCGCTGGTGTCTGCGTTCTAGGGATTCAGTAGCCAGTCAGTTTATTGGTCACTGCTCCTTGCCAGAGTCATTAAAGGCACCTGGCTGTGGGCCGGAGTCAGGCAGATGCGGGCCACACCTTGCCCTAAGAGAGCCCTGTGTCGTTGGACCGCACTCTGCTTTCCCCTCTCCTCCTAGAGATCATAGGTATCACTTCCCACATTTGGTATCATGCAAAACATTTTAGAAACGTTAATAGAAATAGGATAATAATAACATTAATAGAAATAGGATTCTGTAAACAGGTAACTTAGAGCAACCATGAGGTTCTTTTTCCGGTGATAGTTCACAATGCCTAGAATAATAATAGTTGAATAATTTTTAGGAAATATGAAAACCTTTGGCAAAACTTCATCACTGAAGTCATTAGTAAATGTTTGGTGGAATATGGCTCTGTGCTAGACATTGTTAAAAGCAGATTAGGCAATTGGGACCCTTCCTTTTACGGATTTCTTTAGCCATTTATCTAAAATGAACACTAACTTTATGCAAGTCATGTGCTGCCTACTGACGATATTAAAGAAGATCAAGATACTATCCCAGAGATTACTCCAGGAGGAAGACGACCAGAAAATGGGCAGTATAAGTATAAGTGATAAGTCCTATGACAGGCTTCAGCTGCATGCTAGGGAGCCTCCCAAGGGAACCATCATCAAGCAGTTAGGAAAGAGCTCCTTAAGGAAGATAAAGCCTGGGAGGTGACACCACATTGGCGTATTTCTGGGGGTAGTTCTTTTCCCCTTCTTTTGTTTTACTTGTTATAGGATAGATTGGAATAGCCAACCCACCCAAGGAAAAGAAAATTCAAAATATATAATCTAATCATCATGATTATAGCTCTTACTGTTTTGCCTTCTGAACTTCAAGCTGTGAAATTATTCATATAACACAGGCTGAATTTCCCCCCCTCAACCATGGTGTTTAATGAGTGTGAATTTTCATTCAGCCATTAAAATCTCCAAGAGTATTTTTAAACTAATAGTTCACAAACTTGAGGCAGTTATGGTCTATGTAGATTCCAACTCCTGGCCCCACCGCCCAGTCTCTGTAGGATCGGGGCAAGAACTTACCAGGCTTTAGGAACATTCAGCACTTTAGAAGTGTCACAGAGCCATAAATAAAGAGTAAGACGCCCTCCGAGGCTGTCCTCTCTGCCCAGTAGGACAGAGAGGCAGGAAATGCACCTACTCATCTGCGGTGCATGAGCCATGCTGGAGACCTAGGAAAGCTTCCTGGGAGAGAGGGGCTGCCCAGAGTAGGCCTGTGCGGCAGCTAGCTACAGTCTCGGTATTCCCAATAGACTGTAGCACTTGGGAGAGCAAAGTGGAGTGCTGTCATTGGTTAGGGTTGGGGAGGGGCCGTTTGCGGTGGTGTGTAGGATTTTGTGGAAAGCATTCGGTGTTTTCAGTGACATCACGGTATTCTGCATGGCAACTTCTCTGAATGCGGGCCGCCAAGGTATTTCCTGGGCTGGGGTGGGGGGGCTGATGAGAGGCTCAGACTTTGCCCCCCCGCCACCCCATTTATAGAGTCTGTAAGGGCGTAAATGACACATCTGGAGCTTTAAAATTAAACATTGAGAAAATAGGATTCCTGTGAAGGATGATATATTAATGGAGGAAAGACCAAGTGGAAGACGGGTTAACCATCCCACAAATAGAAATGAGGGTTATATTAGGAGCCTAAGGTGGTAGAACCACGCTTCCCCCGAGTTCTTTAAAAATAGTACAGACGCTCATGCCTCTAGTATGAGTCAGTTCAGCTCTTCATTGAACCAGAGAATAGACCAACAGGCTTCACACCGTTTCCTCTGTTCTTGCAGTTCTCCACTGCACAGCCCGGCGTTTCTTGGGGATATTCTATAAAAATAGAGAGATGCCATCATCACCATCATCACTGTCTCTGTTTCATAGTAATAAAATAAGGTGCTGTGATGCCTTCCTGTAAGTTTTAGGCTAAATTTATCATAAGATTTCTGGTGTTTGGATTGCAGTGACTCATCCATTGTAACATTGTGAACCAGAGCCCCATGAAAGGAGGGGGAGTGTGAAAATTTGACTTTGGCCTAAAATTATTTCCTTGCATGGACTGCTTTTTGGCATTCCTCTGTTGATGTCAGTATCTACTGGAATCAAGGAAAACTGACCAGTGGGCTGTGTTCAGAGTCCGAACTAGGCACATGAAGTTTTGGAAACCCTAAAACATCCTATTATTTTCTCAGAACTCTACTATTCCTGTAGATTTTTTAAAAATCTTTTAATCTTTGTTTTTAATTGTTCTTCCTTAGCCTCCTCTTTCCACCCCATTCCCAAAACCAGAATCACAGACATTTCCCCTTTCTGGGCACCATTGCACATTGCCTCTCCTCTACCGTGAGAAAACGGACAGCATCTTGTCAGGCCAGATGTGGGCAGCCCAGGGTGAGAGAGGGAGAAGCAGCAAGGTCCCAATGCAGTGCCAGTCCTCAGCTGGCGTCTGCCTCCTTCCTGTGCGCAGGCTCTTGCTCCGAGATGCCCCTTGATTCAGGAAGCCGTAGCAAGCGTGCATCTGTCTGAAGAATATGCCTCTTCCGGGCCTGTCAAGAGTGTCTCCTACGGGGTGGGTAACGGGCCTCGCCGTACCTTCTGTACGTACAGCCTTTGCACCCCGGCCTCCCAAGTTGGAGCACAGCGAAGAGGAATCAGTGATGTGTGAAGGAGGAGGGCGGGGGGGGGCTGCACGAGCACCCCCATAGACGTGCACACTTGTGTGGGAAGACATGTGGCCACGAACTGCTGCCTTGAGGGGAAGGTGGTTTCAGCAAGAAGTGAAGAGCGCTCAGCCTGCCTGAGCGCTGACTGTGCAGTGCAGGAAACTGCTGGGTAAGGTCCCCAGAAGCCCCCAGAAGGTCTGTGGTTGAGATCAGGAGTCCAGCAGTCTTGAAACCCGACACCTTGAAGAGCAGGTGTGCTGAACTTCATCTGGTATTTGCATCCGGGAGTGAGGAAGCAAGGTTTGTTTTGTTTTTTAATGTAAAGCTTCTTTTACTTGTCCTGTGAGTTACTTTCTTGAGAAGGTGTAAAATCAGGCCATTGGCAACAAAGCCACACCTGGGGACCGCCAAACCCTTTGGGGGCCCCACGGCCTCTGAGCAGTATCCGTGAGGGAGTGAAGGGTTCAGGAGCAGCCAAGGAAGAGACAGGAATCACCATCACCATGATTACACCATGTGTGGAGAGAGAGAGGGGGGACTGGGTTTCCCATCTACCATGTCCAGGCTGTTGATATCCTATAGTGGTGTGGTCTTTACT